AGGAAAGAAAGTAAATAGTAAATGTTACCTTGGAGGAGCCCAGTCGTGTTTGGTGCAGTCTAACAGAGTTCCCACGTAGGTTCTCTTCCTCCACGTCACATTCACCACCAGCACACCTGTCAGCCGCAGAGGAAAGGGACGGCAGTCAGCATTGGATTCACTGACAAGCCCATATATCAGAGTTTGGCATAGAGTTCAGAACACAACCCCTCCCACTCAGCATCCTAGATAAAAATAATTGTTTGGCCCAAAAGTGTCGCAAATCTGCAGTTTTCTTTGGACCCCATTTGGCTTTGATTGACTGCACTGGCTCAGGGAGAGACTTGTTGCCTCGACTCAGCCACAGTTACACTTTACACGCGCCAGATGTTCAGTCTGTTGTGACACACCACGATTGTCACAACCCATGTTACTACGTTATGCTCGCCTCATTACTGTTGGCTCACACAATATTTGCAAGTGCTGTAACTAAGTCGTACTTGCCAAAGCGAGTCCAGATCAAGCCCAGATGTGTCTGGAACGAAGGCTTTAATTTACAAGGGTGTTCAGCTACAACGCTGTGCTGAAATATACACACTCACATGCACACATTTAGAGGAAATAAGATCTCAAAAGTGATTTTTATACAGACATTCGATATATCAAACAGTGACACAGGTGTGTTAAAAGATCTGATGAAGTGATTTTACAGCATATCAACTGTGTCTGAAAGAAGCGTTCACCCTTTTTCACCCTTTTCCAGGCCCTCTGTGGAGCCACGGAAATTCTCATTTTTCTGTTCTGGCTTTTATCTAAAGACGAACGTGTAATGAATGATGAAACAATAAAATGGAGCAGACCGCATTTTAGAGGAGAGAAAAATCGCTGCGATGAGCAGACATCTGAGAACAGCCGCAGTTAATAGTGTGGAAATAAAAAGCCGTGGCAACCTGAAGGACGGAGTTCATGCTTTTAAGAATTGTTTTCAAAGTGCTTCACATTGTTTTGCTACAGCCTGTGAAATCACTCGGTCTGATATTACTCAAGAACATCCTCGGAGGAAAAATACAGTCTTACATTCTTGTCAGGTTTTTGTATGGAAGAAATATTTAGTCTTCAAGGTTTAAACTCTAATCTGAAGACGCTTTAGCCATCTGAAATAAATGCCTCTCTCCTCTCTCTCGCTCCCAGACTGACATTTGAAAACCATTAACCTCCGTTTTGTGATGCGCCAGCGGCAACGCCAGGCAAATCAAATTTTGGACGCATTACAGCTTTAAAACGAGGCTTGACTGCAACACACGACTCCCCGCTCTTCAATTATGTCTGATAGCCGCCACCTTCACAGAACACTCTCGCAGATAAATGAGAGGCAGGAAACGCTGCCAAGAAGGTGGATGTGATCAGGCAGAGGCCCTAAAATCTCCAGTTAAAATCTCCACTTAATGAACTGGATGGATTTCATTAGTCAAGAACTAAACCCTCATAATTTCCACTTTAAATACTCCAACAAGGCTTTGATCAAATGTATTTTCTACTTTGTTCAGCCAGGACCTGTCTCATTTTCATGCCAAACTGGAAAAGGAATGTTTAGGAATGCAGGAACGTTTAAAGACACGAGAAGGTCTGACGTGTAAAATGAAACAGATTAGTGTTATCGAGCACATTAACTCGTTGGTAATAAAAGTCAGATTTCCTCAGGTTGTATCCTCCAATTGAAGCAGCTTTCAAATGAGAAATTCAGTGGTTTCTATCAGAGGTTGTTCGACTGACTACTACACCAAATGACTTTTCAAGCATTTTTAGTGTTGCAGACAAACATCCAACGCTGCAATAAAAAGCTCACTGTTTTGCTAAAGCTGTAGTGTGCCGACATCATCTCGATCATGCAGTATAAGGCAGTCATAAAAACCGGTCTTCTCATCTTGACATTCAGATGACTATGAACACGTTTATCTTCTTTCTATCTTCTTGTGTTCACACTGTGCAGTTGGATTCAAAGCAATAAAAGAGAGCACATCAACGGAAGATCAATACATCAAGGAGCACTCAGACTCCAATCAGCAGAAGTCCTGTGAGAGAAAGCTCTCTAGACATGGTCTCAGTCTCTAAATGACTTCTTAGGAGAGCAAACGCTCAGATTTGGCTCAGATGCAGCTGATTTCACAGTGAGCAATGGAAAAAAAGACATCAGAGCATGACCAATACGGGGGTTTTAAGACTGATTCTTTTTTTTTGTTTCTTTCAGACACATGAAACAGATTTCCCTAAAACTTTAATGCATTGGTGTCCAAACCCAGGCCTCGAGGGCCGGTGTCCTGCAGGTTTTACATGTGTCCTTGATCCATCACAGCTGATTTGAATGGCTAAATTACCTCCTCAACATGGCTGTATCCCAATTCAGCGTCTGCAGCCTTAAAGGCCGCATTTTAAGGCCGATTACGTCACAGTGACGCAACGAAGGCTGTCCAAGTTCGAAGGCTGCTCGAAATGCGGCCCTCAAATGCGTCCTTCATTTCCCTGAATTTTAAGGACGTGGCGGTGTAGACTTCGTGGCCCAACATATCCCAGAATGCATAGCGCGGCGGTGGGTGTGGATAATTTTGCCGAAAAAAAACGAGGGATGAGGGGTGCCCGAAGAGTAAACTTTAAGTAAGTACTAAATATTATGTCACTTATTTATGTGCAAATGTTTAATAACGAAGAACATTAAAACATTCCTGTTGGCCACATGTCGGCAAAGTTATGTGACATTAGTGACGTTTGTACTAACTTGGTTTTAAAGCCTTTACTTTAAAATATACGCCGTTCAATAGCTGAGCTTAATCAGAGAATGATCAAAGCTCATGTAGAAACCAATGAACAAAAGATTTTCTCCTTCATTTCTGTCAAACAAAGCTGTATGAAACGTTTCCAGCTGTTAGTATCATGGTTGCTAGGCAACCTGGGCAGCGCAACGGAGGCTAGACCGTCCCATTTCACAAGCCTCGCACTTCCGGCCTTAGCGGTCTTTAAGTACGTGGCCCTTGAGGACCGTTGAGGCTGCGTACTTTAAGGTTGCAGACCCTGAATTGGGATACAGCCCTTGTCTTGAAGTTCTCCAGAGGCCTGGTAATGAACTAATCATTTGATTCAGGTGTGTAGACCCAGGGTGAGATCTAAAACCTGCAGGACGTTACAGAGTGCCCTCTGGTGGACAAACTATGCAACGTTAACACATCTAACATGGCTGAAGGGTGTTTCTCTTCTCCTTTTTTTACTTTTTATTTTTATTTACACATAAAAGTGAGGAACCTTCTAATGGCCAGCAGAGCCTTGTGGAAACGATCAAACATCCCTGCTACCACGGTGTCACTGAAAGTCTCCAATGGTTCTTCCTTTTCTTGTTTTGCCGAGCGATAGAGCATCCTCCCTTTCTGCAACTGCTCTACTGAAGGTAGGCCAGGTTGACAGACATAGCTGTGACATAACTCTGGACTCTCTGTGAAGTAATGGGACTGACCTGGGTCTGTAAGCACCAACTCCCAGAGGTGAGTCGGACTGGAGAATGCTGTATGCGAGCGACTGAGTATGGACGTCAGTCAGCAAAATACAAACATCCACATGCCTGCCCAAATTGGCTACATTGCTATACAGGCAATGTGTAATGTATGCAGGAAATATGAGCAGACAAAAGGTCAACTACCAGAAAAACTGTGCAAAGCTCGCTCCCACTTCTCGGGTTCAACTCGGCATGGAAGTGGACTGTGTGTTCTACAAGCTGGGCAGCTAAGCTGAGCACTGGAGTGATGCGTAAGATGCATGTTACATGCAGATTTCACAGAGACTCAGAAAAGTCCTTTGGGGAGTCAACGTAGCTATCTGTGACAGCTGGGATAGACTCCACGACCCTCATAACCATGAGCTAGAGGATGGATTTTTCATTTATCAGCTGTTACAAACGACGATACCGACGTTTCTCCACAGTCACTTGGACTCAAGCCCACTGAAATAAGGTGTATATAAGAGATGGTTTAGCAATAAGAGTTCAAAGATGGAAAAACAGTGGTCAGCAGGGGCCAATTCCTCTGGTTAAAAAAACAGAAAAACAAAAACTGAATTCATAAGATGAAAATAATCCCACTGCTTCTGATATGTAAACACTATCCCGATTATTTTTTTATGTCAGTGACGAGTTTCAAGTCTTATTGAACACTGAAAGGTTTGTATTCATGTAACGCAGCCTGTTATCCGTGCAGCATAATGACACTGAAACTAGTTTTCGACTGCCAGCTGAGATTCTTTCTCTGCAGTCTTGAGCCTCAAATGGAGGCAATGCAAGTGCAGATGCTCCCCGAGGACTGGAAACAAACCACTGCAAATATGTGAGAAACTGCTTGGTGAGTGCATTCCTCGGTATGCCTCTGTATCTTCTGAGACTATAAAGGTTTGGATATAGCTGTAAATAAAATCCTCTCTTGATTCTGTTCAGTCACTAAAAGTTCATTTAGAGGCCAGGTGTGGGTTTTTGGAAGCTGTGTAAAGCCCAGGGGTGCAGCTGCATAAAGCTCTCACCAGTAAAGCAGCTTTTTAAATCATCAGAGTTATAAAGCTACATATACACATGGCTCCGCTGCGTAAAAGTCAATATTTGTAGAACTGCAGGACAACATGTATAAGCCTCATTTAAATTCTCATCACAAATGTACACAAACAGTCCAAAAACAACATGGTTTGAGGGCACATCACCACTCATTAGTTGTGTTAGTGAGAAAAAGACAAGAAGACATGCAATTTAACCAGTTTGCAAAACTGACGACTCTCTTCAACAGCAGAACACCGTTATTTTATCATAATTATCAAAATGTAACATCAGAATCATGCTCAATAATACATTTATGAAGCATATCCTGAAATAGGCTCAGCAGATGAGACTCAAATTAAAGAAAAAATGACTAACATGTAAAGAACTGGTCCAGTGTTTGATATGCTCCCACCTGACTAAACTGCCACTGGCTGGACAACTGGCAATTTTACATTCACAATAAAAAACGCACAGCAGGACTGATCCATTACTGGCAGCAGGAGGTATTTTTACATAACTGACTTCTGGCTTAATTATATTTAAATTTACTGAACTCACTGGACAAACTAATTG